CAACCTCCACAACAAACAATGTATAATAACTTTATTCAACCACCACCAGGAAATCAATTGGCTTCTGGTTATTATTCAATGCCACAACAACAACAACAACAACAACAACAACAACAACAACAATCACCACAACAACGAATACCAACATCTAATCATCCATCACAATTAAATAAACGACAACCATTAATTCATCAACAACGAACATCCCACCAAAATAATTCACCACTTCAATTACACATGTCGATGAATGTTACTTTGCCACATGTAAAATAAACGAAAAAAAAAATATTTTTTTTTGTTACAATAAAATATCGATTGTTTTTAGATGACACCAAATCAACAACAATCACAGCAGACACAGCAACAGCAACATCGACGTATGTTCTTTGAAAAATCTATTAGTTCGAAAAAAAAACAACATATTTTCTTTTATAGCTATGATGAATACATACAACGATTTAATGATGCCTAATGGTAATGGTTCAACATTACAGCAAGATTTTCATCGACTTTCACCATCATTATTAAATAATAACCCACTTGATCTTCCATATAATCATGATATTTTTATGTCACCATCACCATCAGGGCCACCACCCCCACAACAATTAACACAAAATCGTCATATGACTGTAATGCAAACACAGCAACAACCATCTGTTCCTCCTCCTCCTCCTCCTTCACAAGCCACTATCCATCAGGTAAAATTCTAAAATAAAAATTATTCTTAAAAAAGAAATTTTCTAATTTTAAATATTCTTTCAATTTCAAAAATCCCTTTAAAACTATCATAATGACGCTGTTGAGTCCAACAATTTTGAACTTATCTTCTTAGCGATTAACCTATATCAATGGGAAAATGTCATTAGGAATATCAGAATACGGTTCGACTGGATTGGAAAAAGCTTAATAAATAGAATCAAGGTCTGCGTCCAAAAATTTTCGACTCGACATGTTCTACAATTCATTCTATCTCTGTATGATGTCTAACAAGGGCGCTTTAATATTTTTTTTTCTGTCCTTCTATCCAAGGCACGCTTAAGTATATGTAAACTTGACATATTTTTGTGAACGATATCTTGATGATTCTATTCAAAAGAAAATGTACAAAGAACATTCGAGTACACTTGACAAACAAACGTAAATATTTTACTTTCGTTTCTCTTTAAATTAAATGTCAAAATAAGAAAAATACTACGAGAGATTGAACTAACATTTTTTTGTAAGTACTTTAATTGAATAAAAGTATATCGTTTTTTTAATTGTCTCTTGAATAGTGAAAAAAAAAAACTAACGTTATGATTTTAGTGAAATGATGAACATTTATTGATATTAAGAAGAATTGAAAAGGATGCTTAAGTTATTTGTTGATGATTTTTATATGTTGGAATTTGAATTTTGATTAATATGCATAGAAAAAAATTTCTAAAGATGAAACGTTTTCAATTAAATAATCGCTTTCTTAATAAAAACTAAGGAATTATGGTTTATCGATCATGCTAATTTCGAATATGACTATGAAAATTATCTTAGATCTTTCTACGTTGGTTTTCTAGAGTAATAAATATTGTGCTGATATTGATTTCTATCTTCTCAGATTATACAACATATCAAAGTATCTTTAAATCAATAAACTTTTATATTCTCTGAAAAAGTGTGTTTTAAGTAAAATAATATCAATCTCAAGGTCTTCACATTGAAATATTAATATGTATCTATTGTATGACTTCAAACGGTTGTATTGTCCGCAAAAAAAATGATGTCAGACAGAAAAAGTTATTGTTGCTTATGCAACTCAATAAAAAAAAAAAAACATTTTTAACGAAATGTTTCTTTGTCTATAAATGAAATATATAAAGGCCTAAAGGAATTTTTCATGGTCATATCTAGTATTAGACGATGGATAATGGAGGAAAAAAAAACTGAATGATAATATGAAAAGATTTCCATGAAAGCTCACATATACTCATGAAGAAATATTTCTAACTGAAACACTTTACTTTTTTTTTTCATAAGTAGGACTCTCTAAGATTAGAAAAAGTCATAAAGAATTTGTTCTCTTAGCGTTTGATAACTATTCTACTTTAATTTTGATCTGAAATTCTACCAATAAATAGCTTCTATAGCTGTTAGAATGCTTAATGCACGATCATATTTCTGAAGAACGAAGTATTCGTTTTAGATGAAACTTTTAAAACATTCTAAGAGCCTTGAAGTCTATTTATTAACAAAACCTTCAGTAAAACAGTCATAGCTCCATATGGAACGAATCTTTTAATGCTTTTTCTATTCATAAAGAGTCCTATTAATAGAAAAAAAATATGAAATTAAACAAAGAGGTTTCAATTCGGAATGCAACTGCGTCAGTTTGATTGGACTTTGAAAGCAATTTATGAAAGTCATGAATGAAATAACACATTAATTTCGAACTTAATTTCATGGCTTCCAAAACCTTGAAAATAGAAAAAAAAACAAATATTATCATTCGACAGAAAATGTTCATATAATTATATCTCAAATCATGACATTCAACATCAATTTTTTTTTCTTGCGCTATCATCAATATCTAAACAAGTGAACTTAATTTTTTCTATTACATGTCTTGATAAAAACGAAGGTCAATACTTTAGGGCTATTTGCTATTTCTCGATATCAATCATTTTAATTGTCTCAATAAATTAGCAAAACGAATAAAAAAAGAAGTTCGAGTCTTACCTTTCACTACATCATTTTATGAATATTGTCATTGAATCTATAAAAAAATAAATAAATAAATGTATGCTTTTTATATCTTTTTAGTTAGAATTTTTTTAAAAGACGTCCTTGATAAAAACAAAAGTGACTAATGTCATATTTTTTATCAGTACAGGAAAAAAAAACTATTATCTGATGTAAAATTATAGTAATAGCAATTTTCAATGAATATATTTATCGAACGTTGCATTCTTACCTTTAATTGATCTAAGCAATTGAAAGATATAAGTAAATTTAAGTGATGCGAATCGAATCCAGTTCGATTTTTGAGTGTAGGACGGAAGAAAAGAAATGGAACATAAAAACCCATTATATTGAAGAGAATATTATGTTTTTGTTTGTCAATCTTGAAAAAAAAAGAGAAAAAAATATATGTCGTACGTACCTGTTGTAATTTAAAGGCAAAAACTAGGTCGACATGTAAGAGAAAGTAACAAAAAATACAAAATATGTCGTGTTTATGACGTTGCTAATATTTAGTTTTGATAACAACAAAATGGATACTACTCAAACTGATTTCTGTCTCAAAAAAAAAATGCTTTCTACAGATGTCTTTTGGATTTTTTTTCTTTTTTCAATCACCTGACATGTCAACATGGACTAACGAAAAATCATCGCATATTTATGTCGTTTATAAAACAGATATACTCATAGATGATTAATGAGAGTTAGTGAACGTGCTTATTCTCTTTTTTTTTTTTCATTTCTATAGAATATAGATTGCTGAAAATAGATTCCAAGGACTTTTCTCGCTATGATCAAAGTTCGCTTTCTTTTTATCTGATTTAGTCGAGTGCATGTGACTTGACATTAGATAAGTAACAAAGAGAAAAAAAAGAATTTTAAATACATACCTACTAAATAAATGAAAAGGAATGCATATATTATATATACACTTATATGCATATGTTCTATCATGTTTTATTTGAATCATGACCTTACTTGTATTTCTGTAAAACTCAAGGCAAAAAGAAAATATGTGATGAAGGTCACTGCCATTGATCACAAGGTTATTTCATCACAATCGTTAGAGAAAAGCTAACTCTTACTGTGATGTACCGATCGAAGTGATCTAATTTAATATAATATGCATGTATGCAAAAAAACGAAGAAGAGAGAGAGAGTGTGTGAGAGAAAGAAAGAAAGAAAGAAAGAAAAAGATTCTTATTTCTTTTTTTTTCTTTTCTTTTCTCTTATGTCTCTGTTCAAGGTTTTATAGAAAGCAATGTTTCCCGTCATCTTGATAATCTCAAGGTCTTGTTACTTATTCGCACGAACTAAATTCTTCTAATAAATATCCTTGCTATCTCCTTCGTCTCTCAAAGATGAAATCTTATGTAAATTTGATTGATGCAAAAAAAAAATAGCTGCAAGAATTGTTATATGATTCCTGGTCTGTAACGGCGGAAGTGATGATTACATAATTATGAATGTTGATCGTATGTTCAATATTAATTCATCATAGTACATACATACATGTATATAATATATTCTCAAGAGAGAACGAGAAAATGAATGAATGAATGAAGAAGAGAAGAGGTCAAGGTGGTCGTTTGAACGAGAGCAAGAATTGAGGTTAATCAATTGCTCACATAATGTTTGCTTGCTACTATATTGACATCATGATAGATATCAAATAAAAAGAATCTAGGATATAGGTTAGTTAATATCCTTGAATTTCTATAGGTCACTCATCAATTTGCTAAAAGATATTTGTGATCGATTCAATCTGATAGAATAAAAGTTCATTCTTTTCTTCTTTCTTCTTCATTTTTTTTTCTTTGGTCTAATGATTGTATATATGACCAAGATTGAGTAATATATATATATATATACATAGTGATTGACATAGAATGTGAATTGAGTACAAACTCCAATGCTTATTCACTAGCGGATGTCTCCAACTTGCTGTTTTCTCTTTCTCATTTATACTTTTGAGTTCAAGGCAACATTTCTTTTTTTTTCTCCTTTGGTTCACATTGGACAAGAAAACCTTGACACCATCGAAATACGAACCTAAGTTAGCAGAAACGAGAGAGAGAGAGGAAGAGGGAGAGAAAAAAAAGATGATAATAGAGTGTTTCCATTGATTTCTTTTTCTTTTTTTTAGCCATATTCTAATATGAGTGTGGCTCTACCGACGACCATGCAACAAAATTCACATAGTATGTTTAACTAGTTTATTGATGTATATACATATATACATATGTTTTATCGATGATTATTATCTAGATTCAAACAATCTCATGAATCCATCAATACCAAATTTAACACCTGCTGAATGTCGTCAATCCGAAGAATTGAATAATCAAATGATGAGTTGTTTAAGGTAAATAAAATTTATTGAGGTTATGTGAAATCGATGTTGACTTTTTTGTTTTTTGATAGTTTTCCAGCAAGTAGATCTACAAGTGAATTTGTACGTAAACAATTACAAAATACAATTCATGGACGACAAAAACCAGCCGGTGGAAAAGATATGTCAGGAATAACAGCACAGAAAAGTATGTTTAATAAAATAAAAAATTTTGAAATAAACAACTTAATTTATTTATTTTTTGTTCAGTGATCAATTCGCCAAGTCTTGATTCGAGTAAGTTTAGAAAAAAAAAAAAATTTTCTTTTTAAATTTAACAAAATAATAATTCACTTTGTTTAGATCAAAAAGGGGCTTATTTTCGAAATAAATTATCATCTCAATTGTCTTCTCCATCCTTACAAGCAGCTATAAGATCACAACAACAACAACAATAAAGACAAGAAAACTAACAATGTGGTCTTCAAAACAAAAACGACATGATGCTTTTCTTTTTTTTCTTGTTTGTTTCTTGTTTTTCTTTTCGTTTACGTTTGTTTGTTGGTAGTCGTAGTATAATTTACATACTATGTATGGGGAATGGATGAGATTAAAAAAAAAAGGAAAGATTTATTCGTTTTGTTTGTTTTTTTTCTTTCATTTGAACATTTTTTTTGTTTCTTTGCTCATATCTTTTTTTTTTTGTTTAATACACTTTCTTTTTTAGTTATCGTCCGTATTTTTTTGTTCGGTTCTTTTTCGACACATTTTGTGTGTACTGTATGTATGTTTGAAAAGGTGATGCTGGCAGTTCGACATATGTAAAAAAAACGATAGATGTATGCGTGTGTGTTTATGTATGATTGTATGTACGTACGCAGACAAACAAACCTATTCTTTTCTGCTAATTTTTAAATATAATTTTTAGTGGATACGGCCGTAAGTCGTGCTATTTTCTGTCTAATATTAGAATTATTGAAATGTTCAAGGTTTGCATATTATGTAGCTTTTGCAAGGAATTAATACAAGTTAGCCAATGTGTATATGGAATTTAGTCTAGTATTGTGCAAGTCAAGTCACCATTCGTAATATAAATTTTGGTAGAAAAGTGAAATGTGTGAGTGCAGCTGTGTAATGTAATCGTTGGATCCGAAATTTTTTGGTCTGAATCCAGACCTAGTCGAACCGTAATTTGATACTCTCAATAAAACTTTATAATCAGCATTGGATAGTCGCTCGGAAGATACGAACTATTTTTTTTTTTGATTTTTGGTCAAGTCCGATTTCGATACCAACCCTGCGGACTCTAGTGTGTGGCTGTGAATCTATGTGTGCGTGAAGGACGAGCAACACTACACCTATCTGATACACTGAAACAGAAAGAAAAATAGTCAATAGCATGACAAAATTGAACAAACATCTTGTATAATCGATATAATATTTATTTCATTGTAGCATCTGCTCTTCTCCATGGCTTATGTTCAGTTGTGGCAGAAAAGGTTATGATTACTCATGAGATCAAAATCAACGATTAATTGTGAGATTAAATCATGTTTAAATCACTAAAAAAAATGATTTTTCATGTGACATTTACAATGATTAGACCTAGTCGTAATGCTTGGCTATAGAAATACAATTATGTTTCGATGGTTATACGATTGCCTTCTTATCATCGTGCCCATAAAAGTGTTTCATGAATGAGGAGAGAGATAATTTTGTTCTTCGCCATGTGCAATAAATTAAAACAAAATTCTCTTTTTGTAAATAAATAAATAAATAAATACTTACTGTTGAAGTTTGTTGCTAAACTGCCAACTAGACATCAAAACTGAGCCGAATTTGACGTTATAGATATTCAATATGAACATTACTTAACGTTGGTAAACCAAAATATAAAAAACTTTTTTGCTTACCTTTCTCTGTCGTTTTCAATAGTAAACATTTGATTCAAATTTATTTGTTTGATTTTTTAAAAAGAAAATATTCAAATGTTTTCATCACAATTAGCGATGAAAGTAGAGAGATTTCACCAGTGTTTCTGAATCGAATCAAGTTATGTTTCCGTTTTCTGTTCATGTTTATAAAAAACAAAAAATTTTTTTAAACAACAAGGTTTTCATAACATGATTTCTTTTGTACCTTGTTTTAATGCACAAAAACAAAATAAGAACAGTTTGACATAGAATACAATGAAACAATCACTCTAGTCTTATCAACAAGGTAACTATAGTAAAATCAAATGTTCTATTACAGTTCATAAGCAGCCAGTAAAAAAAGTTTTATTGTACTTTAAATATTAACTTATTAAAAATTTAAACAAACAGTCGCATTCAAAAATTGCTATGAGAAAACATACGTTCAACGGGCATGTGTGTAGCATGTACACGCATGATTTTGTAGCAATTACATTAAAAGATCTACATGAATGTGTACACATACAGATCGAACATGTATATGAAGATGTCAAGTTGTACTTCAACATAGAATATACTATTAATAATAGTAATTTTATTTGGTAGTGTGTATATTAAATTTTCGTAATTAACTAATTTTAAAATATACTTTTTTAAATGTCATAATGATGTAATGGTGATAGATCTATAAAAGTAATTATGACAATATTTAATGAATATAAAGAAATATATTTTTTTTTACAGTTGCATTGTTTGTTTGTCTGTGTCAACATCAACTAAGAGAAAAATGAAATGATTTTTAGTTGACAACATCAATCATGGATTTTTTTGAAAAGCATTCTATCTGAATAAGTTTTATTTTAAAGATAGTTTATCAATCATATGACATGTAATCGTGTCATCACACATCGTCATAGAATTTTTGATAGAAAATAAACTAATTCTAGACATTATTTTCTAATGAAAAATCAATTTAAAATGATTAATTAGTTTTGAATTAATAAAAACTATAAGAAAAATTCTAAATGATTTAAGAATATTATGCATGTTTCCTATTGTAGATAACAGAACCTTGACAATATAATGAGATCTTTTCCTTTTTTGCAATAAACAACAAATATCGATGAGGACAGATTCACACCTCACCTTGAATGTTTCTATTTTCGATATTTTCTTTTTTCGAAGTGTTTCATTAACCCTGTAATTTTCATTTGTGAACATGTATGGTAATTATCAAGATCATGACCAAAGTTTCAGGTATAAATAGTTTTACACTGTATATTACTAAGAATAATTGCAATTTCATTTACAGATATTAATGAGAAAAATAATAACTATGTGCACGTATAATTACTTGTTATCTAATGTCGTTTTCAAAAAGCAACGACTGTAGCAACTATTTGAATAACTTTAGAATGGAAAGAGTCAGTGAGCTGCGGTTTTCACCGTTCGAAAGAGATGAAACTGGAGCGTCGTTTTGTCCAATATTGTGTAAGATGAAATCGTTTTAAAATCAATTATTTCTCCAAAACATTTCCAAAAACTGCATGAAAACTGTCTGTCATTACGATGAATTTTGGTTTTGATATGTGATTTAGATAGAGGGACTTCAGATCTATAGTTTAAGATATAAGGCGAATGATTATATTCACATATTCTAATGTTAAGTAAATAAAATTCTCTATTTACTCGCTCGAAAAATATGAATTTCTCGTAATTTTTAAGCAAATTTTATCTCTTTTTGTTAAAATTTCATCTCAACGGCAGATAATTTTTCTGCATTTTTTCGATATTTTATAAAACCGGTTGATTTTAAAATGATTCCATCTTATACACTATTGGAGAAGAAGACGTTGTGATGCCACTTCTTTCAAATGGTGAAAATTGCCGGTTCCTATCTCTTTTGATTCTAGAGTTCTTCAAAAAACAATCACACCTATTGCTTTTTGAAAACGACAATAGATATATCATACATAGCGAATAGAGATGTGCAAGGTTGTTGTTATACAAGCGTAAGAATTTTGACAATTTCACAGTCACAGTATGTTTTTCAAACTTTTATTTTATATTAAAAAAGTATACGGTTTAGTTTCTTCCATAAACATTAACGAAAAAAAAAAGAAAATCATCTAAAATGTCACAAAAAGGCTAATGATTTCCGGTTCACTTGGTATTGGGCTGCTTCCCAAAACACGATAAATGTTGCTAAATATATATTTACTTGTTGTTGATAATACTGAAATAGAACGCAGTGTTGTTATCAAACGTCATAATTTTGAATGCGTTTTCACTCGTATGCTTTTATATCAATTAGTCGTTTGAAAACGTAAATCATATTTTGAAACATGGTTATATCATTCCGAGTCAGATCCGCGTATAGGATTATACCGGATACCTGAACTGACTTTGATTAATGATATGAATTTTCAATGAAAAACAAACTAGAACACCTCGTATTTATTTCAAGCATACTTTTAATTTTACAAATTGATATTTCGTTCATATGAATCGTCTTTATTGATTGCATCATCATATTAAATTTAAATCGTTTGTTAAATTAATCATATTTGATTGAAGATTGTTTTTTTTTATCCTACGATAAATCATTATTTCATAATACAGAAATGAACCGATTGCAGAAAAAAAATTTCCATATTTATTTTCAATACAAATAAATTTTGATTTAAAATATAAATGAAAAATAATTGTTTATTAAACAAAAATGGTTGTTATGATTACAGATATACAAAAATAAATGAATAAATTACAATGACACTTACATAATAATACACGTCAAATCTAATAAATTATTATTTAGCTACAATTATAGGAATAGTAAAAAAATAACATCAATGTATCACTAGAAAACAAATAATATTCAAATTCTAATATAAGTATCGAATTCGGTTTTTATATATCAATCGATTAGCATAAAGACGTTTCCAATAGATATTAAATGTTTGAAATATATCGATCTCTGTAATTGAAGATGATTGTTCATATTGATAATGTAATGAAGAAGCACATGCATATGCTTTTGGTTTATGAAAAAATAAATCACAATTATCCTTTGTTTCAAAACTTATTTTAAAACTTAAACTTTGTCGTCGAATATTCATATATTCAGGTAAAATACCCGTTACATAAGCATCAGACATATGAAATAATTTTTCATGTCGAAAAAATGCACAAAGAAGTTTTAAACGTGCATTTCGATTAATAATATAACCAAAACCACTCATATAATCAGGATAATATGTACATGGATATTCATCATCAGTTACAATATAACGAGCTCTATCTAATTTTGGATTATTTGTATAACGAATTACTGGTGCATTTTTAAATTTAACACCATAAATAATTGCTGATGAATCAAAACTTGACATATGTTTACAGTCAATTTCAGATTGATTGATTATTATATTAGTAGTAATATTATTTAAAAGATTAGCCAATAAAAATATATTAAGAAAAATATCATCATCAGTTTTGATTGTCATTAAAGCTTGTGAACAAAATGTTTCTGTCCAATCTAATATAGC